TTTGGGCCTCGAGCTTCCTTCCCAGCAGCTGTGATGAGGAGGTTCATTCCCATGATGAAGAGGATGGGGGAGATTGTACAGCCAGTTACGATCCCTTTTTCCAGGTTTTGCCACTGGGTGGTAAAGTGGGGTGTCTTGAATCGTAGCTGGATTCCGCCGAAGTAGTTGATGATCATTCCCTTGATGTGCTGAGGGATGAGGTAATGGTCTAACGCTGCATGGATGAGGGCGTGAGGGATTGATCCATAGGCATTAGCCAAGTCCAGCCAAACGACAGTCAGGTTGTCATTGTTGGCCTTGGCCTCCCGGATCATCTGACTGAGAACTCCGGTGTGTTCCAAGCATCCAGAGAAGCCTGGGATTCCACCTTTCTGGATAGCGATGTCGATGTATCCGTTCTCAGTTATGTATGAGGTCATCCTCTTGGCCAGTACAGAGAAGAAGATCTTGCATTCTACACTTAACAGTGAGATTGTTCTGAATTGGTCTATGGTTGAGGAGTTCTCTTCTTTTGGCACAAAACAGCCTTCTGCCTTTTTCCAACAGGATGGAATGGTGCCCTTCTTCCAGATCCTCTGGAACAGCTTCCATAGCCTCCGGAGGAGCATTGGACACTTCTTATACACCTTATAAGGTATGCCGCTTGGGCCGGGGGCAGAACCTGTTCTGGCCTTCTTCACCACCTCTTGGACTTCCTTCCAGGATGGTTCGCTGATGTTGAGCTCTCTTTCAGGTGGAGCAATGCTGTCAATCCTTGGGTTGGCATCCAGGGCCTGATTTCTGGAGATGTCATTGTGGGTCTCTCTCAAGAACGCCTCCACATCTTCTCTGGGGCTGGTCAGTCTTCCAGATTTTGCTTCACCCAGCAGTGTTCTGGTGAATTGGAAGGGGTCTTTGGTGAACTGAGATCTTTTGTTCTCCCTATCCTTCCTTCTTTTCCGAGTGCTTTCTGCTCTTCGGAGTCTGCAGAGACGTTCTCGGAGTTGACTCGTCAGGTCCTTGATGCCTTCCCTTTCATCAACTGGGGATCTTTTGAACTGCTTGTTGAGTGTCTTGATTTCTTCCCGTAGGCGATGGATTTCCCTTTCTCTTCTGCTTGGTTGGTGTGCAGCCTTGATGTTCACCTTCTTGTCCTCCAATCCAAACCGCTCCTTTGCCAGATTGTAGGTTATTGTTGTGAGAGTATTGACTTTCTGCTCAGCTGTCCCTGCTAGTGTGGCTTCTAGCACTTTGTCGATAACTTTATTTATATAGCACCTTTAAAAACAGAAGTTTACAAAGTGCTTTGACAACAGTTGCAAGCACAGAACATCAGCACATGAAAATAAAAACACATAAAAACAAAAGCTCAGTTAAAAACAGGCCTCTGAATTGTAGGCCTGTTTCATTTTTTGTAAGAAACCCAGGCAATACAAGAACCCTACAAAACAAATGGGACCATGAGGACCAAAATAAAAACATAAAATGAAATAGAAAAGGAGGGCAGGAAACAGGCTAGTAAGTATAAAAGAGGATATCAATAATAATAATAATAATAAAATCATAATAAAATAATAATGATGGTAATATAAATGATAAAGTGGAATAAAAAATTAATAAATAAATAAAATAAAAAACATTAAAATCAATGAAGGACCTGGGAGATAAAATAAGAAAAGATTATAAGTAAAACAAAGGCTAAAAGGACAGTAAGTCTAAATAAGAAAGAGGTAAAAGAAAAAGGAGAAAAAGAAAAAAGGTACAAGACGGTAAAAGATGGCATCACATAAAAGCAAGTCTGTAAAAGTGAGTTTTTAAAATTGACTTAAAAGAAGCGACTGTCTCTGCACGCCTTATCTCCTCTGGCAGGTCATTCCAAAGTCGAGGAGCTCTGATGGAGAAAGCTCTATCACCTTTAGTTTTGAGCCTCAACTTTGGAACGACTAGGAGGCCTTCGCCAGAGGATCTGAGGCTGCGAGTTGGCTCATAAGGTATTAAAAGCTCAGAAATGTAGCTCGGAGCAAGTCCTTTGAGTGCTTTAAAAGTAATCAATAAAATCTTAAAATCAATTCTAAAGCTGACAGGAAGCCAGTGAAGGGAGGCTAAAATTGGAGTGATGTGATTGAGTGATGTGATGCCGTCGACTAAAAGTAGTTAAAAGTCTAGCTGCTGCATTCTGAACTCGTTGGAGGCGAGAGAGTGATATCTTGTTTAAACCAGGGAGGAGAGAGTTACAATAGTCCAGTCTTGAGAAAATGAAGGCGTGGATTATCTTTTCAAGATCTGTTGGGGTGAGTATTTGTTTAATCTTTGAAATGGAGCGCAGGTGAAGGAAACAGGACTGGACAATCTTGTTGATATGGGTGGAGAAGGTGAGGTCTGAATCGAAGGTTACTCCCAGATTTCTGGCTGTTGGTTTGATGATTACTGAATGTGGACCGAGACAAGGCTGTATGAGGGGGGAGTTTTGTATGTTACAGAGAATTATTTCAGATTTTGAATAATTTAGCTGAAGGAAATTTTCTGCCATCCAACTTTTAATGTCACTTAGACAGTCCATGACAGCAGCTAGGCCTCTTGGGTCCTCAGGTCTCAAAGGAAGGTATGTCTGTGTGTGGTCTGCATAGCAGTGAAAGGAGACTTTGTGGCGCTGAATTAATTGGCCGACTGAAACCAGCCAAGTGCAGTGCCCCTGATACCCACCCAGTTTTTAAGACGTTCAATTAAAATAGTATGATCAACTGTATCAAAAGCTGCACTGAGATCTAAAAGAATCAAAATTGAGCCATCCCCTCTATCTGCTGCTAAAAGAAGGTCATTGGTCACACGGAAGAGGGCAGTCTCAGTGCTGTGACCTGCTCTAAAACCAGACTGAAATTTCTCAAAGAGGTTGTCTTCAGACATAAAACCTAAAAGCTGTTTAGAAACCACCTTCTCTAAAAGTTTGGATAAAAATAGAAGTTTTGAAATTGGTCTAAAATTGTTAAAATCAGAGGGGTCAAGGTTTGGCTTCTTTAAAAGTGGTTGGACCACAGCGTGTTTAAAAGCAGAGGGAAATACTCCCTCCACTAGAGAGCTATTAATGATGGATAAAATGCTGGGCCCAACCACGTTAAAAACTTTTTTGAGAAATCTGGTGGGGATAGAATCAAGACTGCACATAACTGGTTTCATTTTGGCTAAAATATCAGATAAAAATTTTAAGGACACCGGCTCAAAACTACTAAAATAGTGCTTAACTTCCCGACTTAAGAGTACAGGGAGACTGGGAGGGGTGATTTGATGTCTGATATCCATAACCTTTTTTATTAAAATGAATTAAAAACTTCTCACAGGTTTCTTGAGAAGCATCAGTAAAATAAGAGGGGGAAGGGTTGGAAAGAGACTCTAAAACCTTAAATAAAACTCTGGGGTTTGAATAATTAGCTAAAATCAAATTTGAGTAAAATGCTGCCCTTGCATCCTTAACTGCCTTCTGGTAGTTTTTCAAGGAGTCTCTCCAAATTTCAAGGAAAACCACCAACCCAGTTTTCTTCCATTTGCGTTCGTTTCTTCTACATATTCTCTTTAGTTCATGGGTGGACTCTGTGAGCCAGGGTTGGGGTTCTTTGTTAGATCTTTTCTTTTTCAGAGGAGCTACAGAGTCCAGGATGGTTCCACACATACTGTTAAAAAGAGAGACAAGCTCTTCAGTGTTAAAAACTGGATTAAAATCTGGGTTGAGGGCAGTTAAAGATGCAGCGATAAAAAGCTCTGAAAACTTGCTAGCAGACGATGCATTAAAAACCTTTCTAAGAACAGGAGTGTGATCGGTAAAAGAAGGCTGGGATAAAACCATGGAAAATACAACCAGTTTGTGATCTGACACACAGATATCCTTAGTTAAAAACTCCCCAGGACTAAGTCCAGTAAATAAAACCAAATCTAAGCAGTGTCCCTTTACATGAGTTGGTTCCTGACTGTATTGCCTGGGTAAGATTAAAGGAGTCCAGAGTTTCAATAAAATCAACAGTTAAGGGTTGTGAGGGACAGCAGACATGTACATTAAAATCACCCAAAATAAGAACTTTGTCATATTTACAAATAAAAAGGGATAGAAACTCTGAAAACTCCTGAATAAAAACAGCGTTGTGTTTGGGTGGTCGATAAAAGATTATGATTAAAACAAGTTCTTTCAATTTAACAATAAAAGCAAGGTGCTCAAATGAACTAAAAGTGCTGAAGGTGATGGGGGTGCATTTAAAATCCTTCTTGTATATGACAGCCACCCCCCCTCCCCGGCCTGATTGCCGGGGCTGATGGAGGTGAGTAAAATCAGGGGGGGTGGCTTCTATAAGAGAAATACAATTGTCCGGAGTCAGCCAGGTTTCAGTCAGAATAAAAAAGTCCAGACTGTTTTGTGAAATAAAATCATGGCATAAAAATGTTGTGTTGTTGAGGGATCTGATGTTTAAAAGTCCAAAGTTTGCAGGTTTGCTGTTAAAAGCAGGGCGGGGTAGCCGAGGAAGCAGGGGGATGTGGATGAGATTGGTGGGGGGACAAAGTCTGGCAGGAGGACGGGGAGGACGTGAGGATGTGATCTAGACTGGAATCACAGATTTACTGATAATACTAGTGGGGGGGGGGGGTTGGCAGGTGAATGAGCGGGGATTGTGGGACTGTTTTGAGATGACCAGAGGTTATTGTGAGGAGGAGGGGGAGTGGCCTGGGTGTGGAAAGATGGGCTGCTGAGTGCAGACTGTCAGACGGGTGAGGAGTGGATCATATACTGGATGTTGTAAGAGAGCATTCGGCTATCCCGCCTGTTGGGGTGGATCCCATCATGACTGAAAAGTGATGCTCAGTCCCAAAACAGATTAAAATTGTCAATAAAACCGAAGTTGTGGGTGGGGCATGTGGATTTGAGCCAGGTATGGAGGCTGAGGATCCTGCTAAAACGTTCTGCTCCACGACCGAGAATGGGAATCGGGCCAGAGATGAAAACTGTCTTTCCAGTGTCCTTTAAAACGTTAAAAAGCAAGTTAAAATCCCTCTTTGTGATTTGTGATTTCGGACTGCTTCAGGGACATGTCGTTTGAGCCAACATGGAGCACAATCTTAGTGACAGAGGAGGGGAGAGAGGGGAGTAGATTAAGAAGTTTGTCCAGGATGACAGGTACTGTGGCGCCGGGAAAACAGTGAGTGATGGCATTAAAAAAGCTGATGTACCTGGTTATGGAGTCTCCGATGATGAGCGTGGCCGGGGGAAAAAGGGGATGAGGAGCTGATGTGCAGGCGCTGAAGCCTTCAAATGTTGGGCGCTCCACCTGTTGTCGGCAGTGAGCGGACGCAGGTGGAGTGAGGGTGTTGCCGGCCCAGGGGAGCCTCTCCGAGCGCCTGGAGACGGCCTCCTTCAGCAGCCTGCGACGCAGTATCCCGGTCGAGGAGGGCCGCGGTGCCAGGTCTGTGTTGGACATCCGCAGAGCCGCCTCTGCTGGAGCTGGGACCGTCAGGAGAGGTGGAGCCGGAGCAGCGACTGGGTCAGCGGCAGCCTCATCCCTCAGGGCCAAGAAGCGGTTGGAGAGGGAGAGCCGTGGTGGTGAAGGGACTCTCTCCGCTGCGGTCATCCTCCGTCCGCGTTGCGCCACCTCGAGCCAGGTTTGCTGCCCCTTCAGCTTTGGGGTCGAGCTGTGGGTAGGGAGCGCTGGGAGCCCCGCTAACATGCCAGTATCAGGATCGTCCAGCGGTCTTAGACCCTGACTGTACCGATGCACGGGAGGAGAGGTGGAAAGACAGCCTGCCGGCTTTGCGCTGTGCAGCACGGGTGAGCCGGCTGGACCCCTGGCTGCAGGGCCCTCGGCCGGCCCGTTCGGAGAATGAAGGGAGGCCAACCAGGGCAGAGTGGCAGCGGCGGCCGAAACCAGCTGTGGTGCCAGTGCTGAGGGCGAAAGACCGGTGATCTTGGAGGCCTGACTCAGGGAAATATGTTTAGCTTGAGCTGAAGCTACGGATATGAAGCCCTCCAGCAGCCTATCCTTCTCACGGAGATCGTTTAGCAGACGACAAAGCTTCTCTTCCAACCGTGAGTTTTTTATTTTGCAGTCCGCACACACAGCCATTTGAAATTCCCACTCTTCCGGGTCCCGCGCAGAGTTCCGTGTGTAATGCAGCGTGGATCGTCTGAGGGCCGTCTTAAAATAGCCGATAAAACCCATACACGGTAAAAATTCAACTTAAAAGCCAACAAACTCTTAAGGATGCAGTCTAAAAAGTTGCTTAAAACCGGTTAAAATTGGGTTAAAAGTCGCCCGGGACGGAGCGATTCGGCGGGATCGTGTACAATGCTGACGCATGATGTAAGCTAAGTTAACAAATTTACAAATTCATTTGACTTTATAAGTCCCCCTTTATTGAAATATTTTATGTTGATATATCTTGTTTCAATTTCTTTGATTGTCTGGACAGAAAAAATCATCCACTGAAGACAAGCGAAAATAAACCTTCTAACTGAATCCTGGATCCTGTGTTTAAATGTTCACATAGTAAAGGATGTTCACTGAGCCAGCATCAGCGTCAACATAATCTTTTACACAGTCTATGTTCATAAGACTGGCTATCCTCAACCTCCTTAATTTTCTACTGATCTATCCTATCAACCCTCCCTCCCCATTCCCAACCCCTCCCTTCTCCAACACCCAAATGTATTTCCACCTCCTGTACATAATTACACAGGAGCCACAGCTGCTTTACCTAGCCAACTGTGTCTGACTCCTCCTAAGCAATCATAGCTTCTCCACTTTTCGGCGTTCACTTACTCATACATCCTTTTATCCCAACACAACCATCAACTTAAGACAACCCAAGGAACTGCAAACCAATTTCGGTCCAGTTCAACTCCATGACCTACTTCCATCCAGGTCCAAAGACCTGACACCAGTAGAATTTGCTTGAACATTTTCACCCTTTTGCGACCTGATCCGTTTAGTTTTTCAATCCTGCAGATCCAAGCTTGACGATCATCCTTCAATAATCCTGGGCAGGGCCTTGCGTTTTGGGGGCACCAGCTTTCACAGATACCACATACACTTTGCAAACCAGGCAGCCGGCCGCATCCAGCAGTTTAACCAGAATACATACTTGAGCATACTCGTCTCCGAACTGTATTGCCAAATCCTGGCGCCCGCACCTCCCTCCCCACAAGTTATGAGTAGCCCCCTCCCACCCAGCCGTAGCATGCATCGTCAGCACTCCTCCGCCTAGTTCACACCCCTCTTCCTCACATAACACCACAGTATTTAACCGCTCGTCACCAGCAGCACCCCCATCTCCAACCATCCCTAAGCCCTTAGACATTCAACCCACTGTTAATGTCCCCTTAACCTCATGACCTTCTTTTCGAAAAAAAAAAAAAAAAATGGCTACACGATCCTGGTTCCGTAAACATCTGCATCAAGTCCTCCCCATATAAGGCATAACTTCAGAGCACTACTCAGCCCATTCTTTCCATATTGGCACAGCATCCACAGCAGCCAGACTTAGCATATTAGATTGAACCATTCAGACCCTCAGACGACGGTCAGTTCAGGCACACCATTCTTATATCCAACATAATCTCTACAATCTGCGTCAAGCCCACACTTGGTTAAGCTCCTTTCCAATACAACTCTTTGGGGGTTGGACTAAGCTCGGGCAGAACAATGCCTGAGACGGGACCCTCATTCTGAGTCTCTCCCTGCCGGGCCTCTAAAAAACCTCCCAGACTAACAAAACATTCGACACTCCTAATAAGCCTCATCATCCATCACAACTTACACACAACAGACAAGACATGCACATTCCCAAATTCATATTAAATATTCGAATGTACATCATTGTGGCGTGGTCATTGCTAGTGAATTTCTAGTTGTTCTCTGATTTATTGTTGTTTCTTTTTCTGTCTGTATACAGACCTAACTGCAGGGTGCAAAAGGAAGACCACCTGCCTAAACAAAATCCTTCAGGAGTTTGATTTTATTCTGAAGGATGTATTGTTATGTTCCTAAACCCTATCCAAAATCTAAAATTCATTTTTAGCATTCCAAATTTTCTCACTACATAAACATGACTTTTTCTGTGAATGAAAAGTCCCACATTGTTGTTGAATGGTGTCACAATCCATGTCTTCAACAGAATACAGGGGTACCTGTATTTGCAAGGATAAAGAAGTCCTGATTTGATCCAGGATCATTTGCATATAGATGTATAACCCTGCAGAATGTATAGCAAATCAAATGTACACAGATGGACTAGATTCCCTTGCAGTTTATAAAAACCAGTGCATTCAGAGACCACAGGTCGTAAAGAGACAGCAGCCAAAACAAAGTGTTTTAGACAGAGGCTGAAATAATATTTTAATACACCACTGTGAAAAATTTGAGTCTTTTTTTGAAATCTGAAAATCCTGTAAAGATATTAAAGAGGTATCAGAGAGAATGTACAGCGTTCGAAAAAAAAAAGCAATACCCACTTTTTATGTGCTTATTTAGTTGTGTTAATAATGTTGATGCCAATTCTCTAAACTATACCAACAAAGCATCATAGTGAGCAAAGCCACGCCTTAAATCAAAGGGTCAAAGGTTTTCATTGATTCTGTATTTATGATTGGAAATCCTTGGTCTTGTAAATCCAGCCTTCTGGGGTCCCTGCTACATGCTGCCCTCTGAAAGTGCATCCAGTGACTGTTAAAAGATGACGGGGCACTGAGTCAAATTGGATCAGAGCAGAGATAAACAGAACGTTAATCTGGTGGAATTTCAGTTTCAGACTAAGCTTGATGAGGCAGCACATATTGCTGAATTTACTGTAGATTACATTTTACCTCCAACTGAACTGAGGAGGTGCTGCAAATGGTTTACAAAGAAAAGCAGTACAGCAGTAACTTTGATAGAAGAACACAGGGCAGCCAGATTTACTCTTCAGATCAATGGAGAAGAGACAACATGCATCTGTTACAGCCAGCCTAGTTAACACTTATTTACTCTTTTGCATTACTGTATTTCTGCTTGCTTTATCTTGTTCTTTGATTGTTTTATTTGTTTTTATGTGTCACTGTACAGCACTTTGGCTACCCTTGTGGTTCTTTTAAATGTGCTATAGAAATAAAGTTGATTGATTGATTGATTGATTGCACTCGCATTCCCAAATGCCAGATTTATGGCCTTTGAGTGGTGTACCTTCTGTCCCCACCAACCCCAAATTCTCAGAAAACAACTACTCTACTTGTTGGCAAGTGAACAAAGAGTCATACATAAGTGGAAAGGGAAAGGGCCATGTGCACTGAAAGTAGAAGAAAGCATATTGTGAACCTGCCTCTGACTGCAGATCTCTTTATTTTCCTTTGGTGCTCTTTTCATATCTGAAGCATACAGTGGAGACATTTCATCAGGGGTTTCCTGGTCTATGGTGCATTCTTTTTGCACAGTCAGGAATGTGCCACTTTTGCACCTGAGCACACCTTGTTTTTAAAACCCATATGCCCATCGGCACTAAACTCGGTGCGAAGTCACATACTCCTTACACAACATGGATGCTGGGAGTAAAAAAACAATACATTGTCTGGCAGAAAATATCTCTGACACTTGTACTGCACACCAGAATGCCCTGCATCCCGTGAACATTAAAGGCCTTTTCTCTAAGTCTTCATTCAGTCCTAGTAGTACAGACCAGGATATCAAGATGAAATCACAGGGGATTCAGTTTTTTTCCCTTTGGTCAATGAAATGCACTTTTTGAAAGTTTTCTATATAATTTCACATCAGAGAATGGCCTAGACTGTATAGGATATTGAGACATCTGTCATTCTATAAGTTCTTATTCAAATGTCTGATTGCACAAGCAATGAAACAGAAAAATACTGCAGTTTTCTCCTACCTTGACATTTTTACTTTTAAAAGCAGCCTTGAGGCAGGGCTCCGGTGACAAGGGACCAAGCTGTATGACTCATTTGTTTATAAAAAGATGGTGGCTGTCTGCCACAAATCTGTCAGAACCTGTGATCAAAGAGGAAGCAGGCTAGTGCTGAGGAAAAGAACTTTTCAGTTGCTGTTGCAGCCATCAGCTGCAAAGCTGCTGTGTATTCCCATTGAGCTTATTACAAAAAGGCTGTGACAAAAAAGCTAGCTTGCTGACAAATAAATTAGCTAAAGTGTATCACTTTAAGGATGTGTCAATGAGTTCTGTATCTAAATTTCCCTGAAGCACTTCCTGTCAGTTTCCATTCTGTCTATTTTCTCCAAGAATTTTGACACTTTTTTGTTCTACTTCAAAAACAAAAGATAAAAAGTAATCAGGTGTCCGTAACCTTTGTTCCAGGCAGCAGATTTTTTACAATAAAGCAGTTATAATGCTTTTCCGTGAAGTCTGATGGTTCTGATGGTTTTCTTTAAGAGGAAAATGTGTTTAAGTTCTTCTAAAGAGCTATGTTTTTCATTTTGATAAAAAACATACTGTAGAAGGATATGTTAATAGTTTTTCTCCCCAAAAGTTTCTTATTATTTTTATTATTATAAATGTTTGTGACTCTGAACCTTTCACTGGATATTTTCTCTTTCTCCTGACAATTTTTTTATGATTCCCAGAGATGGCTGTGCATGAAAATCCCTGCGGATTGGCAGTGAAATACCTCGGCTGTCCCATTTGGCACCAACCAGAGTAACACCTTCTTTCCGCTTGCCCCATGACTATGTCTGCATGCTGTAATGTGCAAAGTTGGTGTCATGTGATCATGTGACTGGCTCAATGGTATTGGTAAGTCTCTGATAGCAATTTGAATTGCGCAATAACGACTGTTATTTGCGGTGTCTTACGGGGTTTTTACCTGGGTAAAGTTTTGTAGCTCAGTGCAACCTGCCCTCGTTTTGCAAATGACTGTGAAGACGGATAGTCAGCCCCCCCTTCTGACTGCAGGAGCCTTACTCTCATGCTGGTAAAGTTCAATTTTATCCACATATCAATGATGTTCTGGGAGGAAAGACCGAAGCTCTTTTTGCAGATGATGGTGAAGATCAGGCATGGTGATACCAGCTTTACTGTCTGTATCTCTGCTTCCTCCCTGCAGTGAGCCAGAGATAAAACCTCTGCCACATAGAAAAAGAAAAAAAAAAACATTATATACAGTATTAAAAAAAAATTCCATTCTGCTGACAGACTGTTT